GGGGGGGGGGGGGGGGGGGGGGGGGGGGAGCACAAGGTAGCTGATGATGAAGAGATTCGCAAATGCCACGCCATGTGCATGGGAAAACTGAACGAGGGATTGGACGCGTATGGTGTATACACTCAACTTTGCTGCTCGCGAGGCACTAATAGGAGAGAGAGAGAGAGATGGAAGACAAGGGATTTACCCATCCTAGTTTTTTTGGGTGTGTGTGTGTGTGCAACAAACAACACCCACCTCCAATTTATATCATTGACAATGAAAACGTCCACTCCTCCTTTCACTAATAAGGATAACAACGAATTTTTGGGAGTAAGGGAGTTCTAAAAATGAAATTTTTTATCTCCTAAAAATGAAGTACTTTCAGCAGGTAAAGCTTTTTTACTTCTTGGAGGGGAAGAAAATAGTAAATTCAGAAACGTGAGATCAAATTTTTACCACTATTTAGGAGGAGGGGGGGGGGGGGGGGGGTGGCAAGGTAGATTGGCACCACTTTTTAGTAGTAACTGATGGTGCATCCACAGGAAATTTCAGAATACTACCACCAAGTAGAGTTGATATCCAGTTGCTGACCATCAACACGAATGTGGAATATAATTATCAAGCTGCATCAACTAACGATTAATAGTAGGCATTTAGCACATTACAACGATATGGTATAAAGCCGAGCAACAAATGTCCTAAAAATACAAGCCTAATTAAATTGAAAATGACATCGCATTGGATTCCAATTATTCGATGATTGGAGCATGATCATCATAAGATAGCGCGTACTTACTACCTCAACAGAATTTCGGCAATAGAGTATTATATTGAGAAAAGAGACAAAAAAATGAACTTTCAGAATAAGTACAGAGCTCGATTGAATAAAAATTACAATATAATTGCACCAAAATACTTTTGAAAGAAAGCTTTGAACGAGCCCTTTCCTAATTCTAATGCAAAGATAAAGTACACCAGACAGTCATTTTACGAAAATGAGAGAAGGAGGGCAACTTTGAGTAGAGATTGATTGGCAATATTCAAGCAGGTAGACGAAAAGCAGCTACTTTACTAATTGGAAATTAATTTACTAGACTAGAAGTAGCATATTTTCACACAGGAAGAATTGTGAGAAAGAAACGAGAGAAATAGACCATAGAAAGAGACGTTGAGAGAAGAACCTCTGGGAACTATAATCTTTTTGCAAAGAATTAAAGCCGAAAATTGATTTAAGAGTTACTAGGCCAGATCTTAGAGCCCATAGAGGTTGGTGTAGATTGGCATTCAGATAATGAATTGCAAAATGATGAAGAAAGGAATATAAGAGAGGAATTTCACATAATCGATACACCGATTTCGTTACTCATCTGATGCCCAAAAGGGTTTGGAACCCAGCTTACATTGGTAGAAGTACTCTTACTTAGCGCCAGACTAATGCATTTAGAGCTACTTCTGGTTTGCTGCTTCTGAATATAGCTGACTGTGACATCGCCTCCGTCGAATAATCTTCAATTTCACGCACACACACACACACACACACACACACACACTTCGTGCACAGCAAACAGCAGCAGCAGCAGCAGCAGCAGCAGCCGCACTTAATGTGTGTGCACGCCCAGCAAGTGTACCCGCACACAAATTGATTTGTCCATACGCATGCATACTAGTTGACAACGCCACACAACACCACCACCGCCAAGCGAGCAAGCAAGCAAGCAGCATATCAAAATTTGTGAGAGTTAAAAAAGGGAGAATGCATTTATTTTCTCTCTCTCTCTCCCCCTTTAGCTCATCAACATCCTGCCTGAAATAGAACTTATGGCAATCTCGTGTCAAGCTACTGAGAGGAGAATATTAGTGATTTGGTTTTAATCAGCTGAAATGGTTTAGTTATCAATGCTCAACTTAGGGGGAGGGGAAGAGACTCATATCATTTTACCCATTCCCAAACTCATTGGAAATCGATCTCAAGAACTTCCGACAGACATAAAATAGGCATTACTCATATTAAAAATTTTTCCTTCAATTGCAACGAACTATTGAGGCATCCACAAACAGCTAACCATGGGAAGGAAGACGATTCAATGCATTTCATATACAATATGGCAAAAATAATTGACTTCAAAAGAAGAAACTCAGATTTGACTGAGATGCTTGTTGGTCGGTATACATATTACTGAGGTAAACTGAATAAACTACTAACCGTTTTCAAAACCTATGTAGCCGTTGGTCTACCCCGCAAAAAGAAAGTGACTGAATTTGGGCTCCTGGTTAAGGAGAGCAACTCTTCTAGCTAAGAGAAGTGTCAGAAGACGTTTCCGAAATTGCTTTTGTAATTCAAAGTGGTACCAAGATGGCCAATCTAGCGCAGCGGGTGTATGACAAAAAGTGAGTCTGTAGGTGAGAATTCATCCACTAATGGGATCAAGGAGAGAGAGAGGGGGGGGAACAAAGTTGAAAATGGGTCTCATATCTATCGACAATGCGCGTTTATCGTATCTTCTGGCGTACACACAAAGGAGACAGTAAATTTTGGTCAGCAAAAGGCCTACAGAAGTGGACTACAACAACCACTCCCCCCCCCCCCCCCCCCCAACTTCTCAGCGTAAAGATCGATTCTTAATCTCTGACACAAACACACCAACAATTTTTTTAAAGTATGCCAAATCACACATCACGATATTACCTGATTGTAAAGTAAACAAGAACATACCCATCCCCCCCCCCATTAAAAGGAAACATTGAATTATTGGATTAGCTTCACAAACTTGCCAAAGCCAATCAGGAACGAGAAACCCCTTACAATTTTTCTCTTGTTCATCGAATTGCTATTTATGAATCGCTATATAAATGAAACACATACTAAATTAAGACACTAATTGAAATCTCAACGCCATAAATTCATGAAGTATTTCCTATTTGTATGAAAACACACATTTAATAAAGTACAATATTGAAGAAAGCATTCGAACGTCGATGACAAGGAAAATAGATTTCCACTTTCTAAAACGACTACAACGCCTTAAACTTCCCGTGAAAACAAGAAATGAAAAATTTCTTCCAATTAATATGGACGAAGGGAAAAAACCTACAAAAGGCATCTTTCACATTTGAGATATCGGTTTCCTAACCACCTCTGTTGACCCCAACAACCAGAGAGATATGAAGTTAGTAGCACCTAATTTAGGATAAATAAAAGTAATCGTCAGGTCACTGAAACGAAAAATTCGCAAGGCAACACACACACACACACACACACTGATTCATGTCTGAAAGGGTGTGGCCACACAGAATCAATAAATATCGAAGTCAGCAATTGAATAAAAGGCAAACTTAACAACTTCAAGGAGGCGATAGAGAGAGGTAAAGTAATGAATTGAGGTCAAAATTTAAAGGCGAAATCTCTCCTTATATGCAAGAGAAATAAATAAGCCACCATTAGACATGGCAAAACAAGAAATAACTAGCACACAACATAAACATAAGCGTACAGATGCGCATAAATAACCACGCACAAACACAAAAATCAACTGGAATGTTTGGGCAGAAGTGAGAGAACGAAGGAGGAAAGGCGAAACAAGAAGGTAGAAATGTTAAACTGTCAAATTAAAATTTTACGAAAGCAGGGGAAAGATAAACAGGATTATTCATAGAATATGCATGCAAATGCCCATTAAAGCCAAAATAGACTCGGTTAAATCGTTGTTGCAAAAATTTCAAATTTCTCTAAGGGACAAGGGACAAGGCACGTGTGGATTTTTTCAGGGGTTTAAATGTAGTTGCTTGCTATGCACCAACTGGAAGCTCGAGACATTGGAAAGTGATATCAATGCATGACACTACTCTGAATGCATATTTTAAAATTCACTTGCTCATTCCAAGCCCATTTAAGCTCTGGTCATTTTAGTTCCATTAAAATGGGGTGTGCGATAGACTAACCTCCACTTGGTGCACCCTGGGCAACGCATACTCATAGGGCAAAAAAGTCTATTATTCGGCAGTTGACTTCTGACTTCTAACTACCATCATCCTACTGTATGTCATATTCGACTACTTCCACAGGACTCACCTCACCTTTTTCCTACCTTTGTGTCTGTCTGACTCTTTCACATCTGTTAATCATTATTCTGTCCCTCATCTCGACATTTTGTCACTTTGATGTTCCTCCTCCTCTCCCTGAAGCCCAAAGTCGGCTAAAGGACTAATGACAACTATCAAAATAATAAATAAAATAAATAGTTCCACTAAAATTTTGGTCAAATAAAATTCATATTGAGAAAAATCATGCATTCCTTTTAATAGCCAACTTATAGCTGATTCGCGAATATGAACCCATAGATTGTGACCTTAACTCACCTCTGACCTGACACGATATACACCAATTTTCAACGATTTCAAAATGCAGGCGAGGGAATAACATGCATTTAAGTGTTAGGGTAGGTATGAGGAAACATTTGCTTTTAGGTGCAATCGAAGACAATTAGGTCAACAAAACTTCAAATATTTTAATTAACAGTGCCACCAAGCCTCCGCTTCAAGTATTTGTTTTCACCATTAATAATAATAATAAGGCAAAGAGGAAAGCATAAATTGTTGAAAAGACTAAATTGCTACATAAAAGTTCATTTTTTAATGCAAGAAAACAAGGTGCCAGAATTCTGCTGCAGATTAAAAGCGCCAAAGCACTTCTGAGTCTGGAAGGGGCCAAACATCCCATCGCGTCTATGATTCAAGGGAAGCAGGAATTTGGATGGGAATAAAATTAACTTGCTCCCGATAGCGAGTGTGTGCGTCGTGTGCGTAATTAGATCTACTTGACAGTAGCAAGGAAGAGGGACTAGCAGGGGCATGAGTCACAATGATGAAGTCGTACATGTACTGTAGAAACACAGGGAGTTAATCCAGACGCGAACAAAATCAAAGAGTGATAATCGGTGAGCGCGTCGCGGCAAAACCACAAAGAATTTACCACTACCCCAACGAATTACCTTGGCCTAGTAAAATGACCGTCGCATGGTGCAGCATACACACACAAGAGCCCTATATGCGTCATGCGGTCCCAATATTCCCTTTCTTTGTACGAAAGTAGAGACAAACACACATCGAAATTGCAACAGGAGAAAGTTGGATTAACATCCCAATCGGCAACACATTTGAAGAATTATCTCTTAGTCGGCTTTAACCGTTGCGATAAACGATAGCGTTCACGAGTTGTGAACCGATGGCATGCAGCTTCGAGGACATGCAGCTTGAGCACTAACCCCAGAGGGCTATATAGAATTGACTACCAAACGTCATAGAGGTTGATACAAAACTAAATAATCTCGCTTCAAAAACTAACTGTTAGAATCTATCAATCTGACTAGTATGACGAGGGAACAAGCCACTAGCCCAGTCTCAAAAGAAGAAAATATCTTCGACCAAACCGGGCAAATTCAGGACCAATTTTAGGACTCCCCTCCCCCCCCCCTCAATACTCAAACCCTTCTCTATTTCAGATTACAAACATCAATTTTCCGTCGGTTTGCACGTCGAAATACTCTGCAACGAGCAAAGTACACAGGGGATATAATTTAATGGAAAGCTAGTTAAGAGGCAATAAAAGGAACCAATTAAACATCACGCTAACTGACGATATATTCCACATTTGTGAGTGTTAATATATTTAGATTACCAACTCTTTGACCGGCGAAATAAATGGCAAAAATAAAAGTCAACTGACTCGAGGAAGTGGGAAAAGAGGAACGGAGTTTGCTTGGCTCAACGAGTAATCTTTCGGAGCCAACTCACCCAGCAGATTCACATGGACAATCTCGTAGGCATGATTAGAAAACGAAAAGTAATACTTGAAAACATCGAGCAAACTTGCGGGTATAAAGAAAACTGGGTAAAATATTAAATTTGCAATACCTGCAAATGCTACGCCATAAAGAAAACGGCCGACTGGCCCTTATAAACTAGTAAGTTTGAGGAATATCCTTCTGTTAATTGATTGAAGACACAAGTGACCACAAGTGCAGACCATTATTAATGAAAAGCCGACGTTCAGTAACAGAGCGTTCAAACTTCTCAGCTAAACTTGAAACTTTTAAGATGTTATCACACTTGGAAGACGTAGATATGTTAATAAGGTGAATGGAACGTCACATCGACCCGTGGACTTTAACAGGAAATCTGCATTGGCAAATATGGGCAAGCTGAGATAAAACAGAGCATTAAACTATTATGACGGAAAAACAGCTTGTAAGGCTGAAAGTTCGATAAATTCAACTAGGAACGGCAAACACAATAAGAGATCCTTAAATATGCATCATGATGTAAGATTAAAATGATGTCGTCAACACTTTGCAAACTACGGCCAAATGTACTTCTCATGAGATTTTTGCTGAAAGTGCATTCTCAAGCACAAATAGAGAAAGTTTCACGGTTAATCCAAACAACAAACACTCACAAATGATAATTTTATACTAGTAAATGAGTATTCAAAAAGGGGATTAATAATCAAACTCGAACAAGCGACCACAAATCTTCAACAGATGGCACGCACGCACACACAAGCTGGTAACATCACCAAACCAAATAAACAATGAATTTGTACTTACACGGCGTGTTGGGAGCCGTGTTACTAGTCTTCAGCGTAGCTTCTTGAACAGGAGGAGGTTGGGAGGATTGATTTACTCCGGGTGTTCCATTAGGGGGAGTGAGAGGGCAAGTGGAAGTAGAATTTCCAGAATTGCTTCCAGCACTACTTCCCCCTCCATTGGAACTACCAACGCAAACTCCATTATCAGTAGAAGGCAGACAGGCAGTATAATTGGGAGAGGTGGTAGTGGGAGGTAGTGGAGGGAGTCCCTTCAATTGTCTCATTTTCGACAGCTCACTCAGCTCCTTGTCCAGAAGACGCGATGGGTTGAGATCGTCGGTGATTTTAGTCACAGTTTCAAAGCAATTCTCAAGAACGGGAAAAATTTCCGTTTTGAGAAAGTTGGCTAACTCGATTTCTTCCGGGGCGGAACCAATAGATTCAATGAAGGACTTCCACTGACTGGCTGAAGCACCCACTGCTAATGACCAGGTAGATGTAAGTTCTGATTTTGGGGTCTCTCGATAAAGCCGTAAGTCTAGAACGAAGGGAGAGAAAATGTTTCATGACCCGGCCAAGAAATTTCATAGATACAAGAAGGGATTTTTAAGACATTTTATTGTGCGCTGTTGACCATACAGGCCATACAGGTATATAAAGGATGTGAAAGTCGCTCTTCAATCTTACCAATATCATGGATTTTTTAATAAAAAGCGAAACAATTAATGACCAATTTTAGAAGAATTACCAAGACATGATACAGTAATGCGACCACGAGCTCAATAGCTATTTCTGATGAATGACAGGAAAAAGCCAAACCATGAACCAAAACGTCGATAGAAAGTCTATCTATTTTTGAATTAACTCGTAAATATGTGAATCGCCATTCACGGCTTAAAATTTAATGCCTAATACGCACTTAGGCATCGATGTAACAACTGTAAATATGAAAAAAACAAATGAATGATTGTGGCCAAAACATAAACAAGGACTACAAAATTGCATGACACTAATACAGGGCAAAAATTTACTATTAAAATATCCAAAATTTTAGAAAAGAAAAGAGAATACAAAATCAATAACTATGAAAAAGTGCGTAAAAATCGGCATACCATCCATGTAGAAGTATCTAGATCCTAGAGCATCTTGACCAGCATTTAAAACCAGTACATCTTCATTCCCTTCAGCTCTGATAGTCAAAGAAGGAATTTCATCATAAACACATTCGATAAGGTGTTCGAGGAGAAGAGCCCGTGAGGGAGTATCGAGATTTGCAATAGAGCGCCCAGCACGGGCAGTTTGAAGTTCTTGACGGTGGGTTGTGCGCTTCTCGCATGTAAAGGCATCCAAAGCTTCCTCAACTGTTGCGATAGAGACGGAAGGATCACCTCTTCGCAAGTAGCGAATAATTCGGGCAATAAGGTCACTCAACGCTATTAGATCATTGCCCATTAAAATGTGATTATACAGATCCTAAATTACATAAAACAAAAAAAGATGAATAAGAAAAACGTTATTGAAACGAGGAAACGCAAGGCATTTAATGAGGTCAAAGACCATAAGATTAACTATATTTTTTTTAAAATAGAAAGAAATATGACTGCTTGCCTGCAACCTTAGACGCGGAAATCCAAACATGCGTTTATGTTGTACGAAAAACTGCATCATAAAAGCCATGTTGTATTGCTTAACGTCGTTCATATTAACGACAGGATCGTCGACAATAAAAACGCTCATCTTGATATCTCGTTGAGATTCTACGGAGATGAGTTAATATTCACAATTAAAAGCATTCGTTGATGATACTCCTGTAAATTTAAAAACAAATAATACGTGCAAAATAATAATTTTTATCAGAAAACCAATGAATACAATGCATTCACAAATAAACAAACACAAATAGCACAGAACATAAAACAAACAATCATTAAGGTGACATACCAGCCCTACCTACAGAAAGAAGGCGAACCAAATGAAGTTTAATGGTCTTTTATGAATATTGATGCATTCAAACAAAATTACAAAAGGTCACAAAAGTAAGGTTAACATAAATATATTATTTCCTATATAATTTTTATTTTCTTTAATATTCGTGTTTTAAATTATTTTTAAAGGAATTGCTTATTGAATTATCGCTATAAAATTAACCATACCAAAAGAGATAGTATGTATGAACAAAATGACTAGTTGATATGTTACATCTAAAAGGTTATTTTTGTACCGCCATTCATATATGTAACTTTTACTAAAACGACCCTTTCATTTATGGATATGATCAATATAATACTGTCTAAAATAACTGGAAATTCATATTAAATTGGTAGATGATCTCTTGATTAATGCATATTAAAGGTTGTTGATAATTAGAAAGCGCGCCTTGGCCATGAAATTTCTGGAGCTAAGATTTTGTTTGGAAAATATCTAACATTATTACATTCCTGATTCACGGGGTGTGCGATTGACTAACCTCCACGTGTTGAACCCTGGGTAACGCTTACTCATAGAGCAAAAAAGTCTATTAACTGGAAGTTGACTTCTGACTTCAAGCTACCATCACCCTACTGTATGTCATATTCGACTATTTCACAGTACTCACCTCACCTTTTTCCTACCTTAGTGTCTGTCTTTTTCACATCTTTGAAACTCTTCTGTCCCGCAACCGCCCCCCCCCCTCTCGATTTTTTCCCTTTGATCTTCCTTGACTTCTGTGAAGCCTGAAGTCAACTAATGGGCTAATGGTAACCATCATAACGCCTACCATTTGATATAAATAAATATTCCTGATTCACAGGAAAAAAGGCAATCTTACCTTTTTATTTCCACTGTTTAATCCTTTTGGAAATACTTTATATCTTATGGTTCAATTTTAGTGATCACAATTAACTATTTTTTGTTATTTTAAAAAAAGTTTCACGCCCTCAAGGACGCTTTTCCTATTACTTATATATATTAAGCGCTCAAAATGACTCTCAAATATCATATTTAATATATATATATATATATATATATATATATATGATTCTACGAATGTTTATTCGAGCTTCAAGATGTAATAAAACAATAACCGTTTCCGTTAAAATTGGTTAAGATGGCCTAAACGAAGTTAAGATTTTATCGAAGAGATAATGAGAACTGATATATAGATTAATAATTTTTTGTTTATTGGGTCGGTTATTCAATTATTTTCGGTTGATTAATATTTGTAATGCGATTTACACCATCATATCCGATGTCTCATCCCAAGTCATCTTTTATTTATATCAAATGGCTGGCGTTTTGATAGTTATCATTAGCCCTTTATTTGACTTCAGGCTTCACAGAGGGAAGGAATATCAAGGTGAAAAAAGTCGTGGGGTGGCATAGAAGTGTGTTTCAAAGATGTAAAAGAGACAGACGCAAAGGTTGCAAAAAAGGGTGAGGTGAGTCCTGTGAAAGTGGTGGAATATGAAATACAGTTTGGTGATAGTAGTTTGAAGTGAGAAGTTATCTGCCGGTTATTAGACTTTTGCGTATGAGTAAACGTTGCCCAGGGTGCTCCACGTGGAGGTATGTTTATCGCACTTCCCAAATAATCATTTATTTATATCAGATGGCAGGCGTTTTGATAGTTATCATCACTATAAGCACAACACAAAACATCACTGTTTGGTAAAATTTAAATGTTTATTCCCTATCTGTGAATTTGCTATAATTAAAGTAGTATGGAGAGAATTTCGAATTTGAAAATTATGACTTAACTATTTAAGTTCATTAAAATAATTTTGAATTAAGAGCTCAACAAATAAATTTTATTTTTAGTTATTGCTGGGGTAGGAACTTGTTATTGATGGCCTTTACTGATATTCGCGTTGATTCAAATAAGGTATTTTATTTCGATGCTAACTGCTTTTCTGATAATGATGATGATGTAATATAAATAAGTAATTAATAAAGGTAAATTAATACGATTATTCTTATTTACTTACATTTTCTCTGTAAATATTATGAAATATTTTAGACAGCTATGAACATAACACAGCAAATATCAAAAGAGCCTGCTCTTGTACTGTTCGGTTTTATACCACTTGATCTATATGCGCAAATTGTTGGAAATAGCAGTTTAAACGAGAAAATATCCGCTTTGATGCATATAAACAAACTACTTCGGATATTTATAAATAACTTTCCTGGTGATTTAAAGGGTCCTTTGGTACATGGAGGTGGTTTTACGTTAGAAATAACTGCACATATATCATCTTTTCTTACCCTTCTTCAAAAATTATTGGACTCAGATGATGTAGTATTTCTGAACGAATGTTTAAGAATTTTGTCGGCAAGTTTGAAACTTTATATAATTTTTTATAAGTGACAATTTTATGCGTAACTTATGATTACGTATATTTAAAGATTTTATTGGATGATCTCCCCTCAGTCGTAATTACAAACACTCAAAACTATCTACTATCTACTGCATGTCGCCTACTGGATCTTAATGATAATGAAATAAGAAAATGGATCCATCTGATTTTCCAAAAACTTTGCAGACGCATACCCACTCAATGTATTTTGGACTTTCTTATTCCCCAACTCGGATGTCGAAATCCAAATATCAGACGAAACTCGCTTGATGTTTTAACAATCATTTTATTAACTTCCGAAACAGCAAAATTTGAAATAAGATTAGTTCTTGAGAAAGTTCTTTTAAATCTATTTGATTCTAATCAAACAGTGGGTAAAAATACATTGTCTTTTACGTTGTTTGTTTAGGTTCTGAAAGCCGCTCTAGAATGTATTGTATCAATTTTTACTCAAAAATATGTCACAGAACGTCAGATTCTTGATTATTTGTCTACCATCATGCCCCTTTCAAGTGATGTCAAAATCAGATCTGCGGCTCTTCTACGATTGCGAAATCGAATAAGACTAAGACTTCCTCCGACGATTGGATCTGATGGTCTCCTAACTTATGATTCGGATGTACCCGACCTAGGTAAAAGTCGAAAAAATTTGACCCATGTTGCAATTAAATTTTAGAAGAACTTTCTAGAGCAACTTTTGAATATCGAGAAGAAAACCCCAGTGAAATTAATTCAAATTGTACGGTATGTAATGTGGTTAACACAACTATTATATAACAACTGGACGGAAGTTCGCAATAAAGTGGGAAAAAGGCTCTTTTAAACACATTAAATTTAAAGCCTGGAGCAAATCTGCAGTATTTTTTGCCTGGGAATAATCAATTTTCATAGGCTCTTTCTAAGGTACCAGCCAGCCTTATTGGTAATCGATCGTACATTGATCTTGAGAGCTGAACAGTCTCAGAGGGGTTTTTAATCCTTGAAGTCAAAATCATAAAATAAATCTTTGATTCAGTATGATTTCTTTGTTTGATTATTAAGACATCTTGAAATAATGGAATTGCATCATAATCTTCGGTCAAATCTGGGGTCAAATAGGCAAATAAATCCGATGCGTTTAATTTAGATTTCGTAAACTTTATACCATAGGTCTGAAAAAGACCTTAATTAGACATTAAATTTATGAAGTTTTAGCGTTAAGAAAATAAATAAAGAAAATAAACGAGGAGTAAATGAAACACGAAAACTGTAATATTTGATTAAATTTTTTCAATGTTATAATTTTTTATTAAGTTTTTTGGCACTTACTGATTTATTTATTTGTTTGTAAAGGAAAAAATAAAACCTCCTCAGAGAGCTTCCCCTTGGCGGACTGCAATACGAAGATCTCGTCAACCAACTTCGGGTTATGTGGAACACTTCTCTGGTAAGTTGTCATCATACACAATTTAGCTTGGAATCATTTGCAACAGTAAGGAATGTTCAGCTTGAATAAATGTAATGGCTCCTCGGTGACCAGTTTGCTTTGTTCTATGATGTGGATTATGGATGACAATTGTAAGATTACTAGTTTTACAGATGGCATTTAATTTCATATATTACGTAAATAATAGAAAATCTATTAATCATTTAAGATTATTGATCCATGAGTGGTTCAGATAGGTTGTTAGTTGTAAAATAATGGAAATTATCAACAGAGATCCAGCAGACTCAATATAATGAGCATTCCTTAGCCAATTTTCATTCTTATTTCCTGGGACAATAAAACTAGTCTGAGATAAAACACAAAAAGAGGGTGGCAATAATCTTTATGTCAAATGGTGATACTCGTTTCATTCTTTTTGCCTTATTGGCCAAATTCATTTGTATCCATAAATCGAAATGCTGGTAGTGCTCATTCAAAGTGAACATAGCTTACTTGGCTCTGCAAACTTTATATTTATTATCCTGATATATAAAGACTCTAAGCTGTTGAATATCCTGGAAGATCACCTTGTCTTTCAACTGCAGAAAGAAAAAAATCTTAAGTGTCAACGCCTATCCTGCTTATATAAAAGTTGATCAATAAGTGCTGAATATCGGAAAAGAGACTTTTCTTCAATCCACGGGAATTCGAATGTTAGAAGCTGAGAAACCACTTTGTTCCTCAACAGCTATCTTCCTAGAATAGTAAAAAACCAAACTTATTCGTAATTATAAAACACCAAATGATGAATATAAGATATTATGTTGGCAACTAAGTCATTGCCGATTTCAAATAAGAAGGCAAATTCGGAATTTTTGTTTAAAAATATAACTTTATTCAATTAGATATTGGCCGTTCTTGTTGATGACCTTTTCCATCGTTCTGGCGGAGTAAAAATTCCCCGTTCGTAAAATGTCTGGTCTTTGCTATTAAAAAACTGAATTAGGTGTGATCCGACATCATCCGCGTTGTTACAAATTTTACCATTTAAAGAGTTTTGCATGGAACGAAACAAATGGTAATCCGAAGGCGCAAGGTCAGGGCTATATGGTGGGTGTGACAAAACATCCCAACCCAGTTCCAATAATTTTTGCCGAGTAACCAAAGATGTGTGGGGCCTTGCGTTATCATGATGGAAAACAACACCCTTCCGCCGATTTGATAATGCCGGCCGCTTATCTTCAATTGCATCCTTCAGTTTTTCGAGTTCTTCAACATACACATTTGAATTTATCGTAGGTTCTGCGGCATGAGTTCAAAATACAAAATTCCTTTGTGATCCCACCACACTGACAGCATAATTTTTTGTTTTTCGGTGAATCTCTGCTTTTGATACTGTTTGGGCTGGTTGATCTTGCTTCACCCATGATCTCTTGCGAGTAACCTTGTTATAAACTATCCACTTTTCGTCGCCAGTAACTAGGTTCTTCCTCGGAAATGGATCATTCTCATTGCGTTTCAGTAGCGGCGAATCACAGATGCTAATCCGTTGCGTCAAATGAATTTCCTTTAACTGGTGAGGGATCCATAAATCAAGTTTCTTGACATAACCAAGGGTTTTTAATTTTTTTCAATGCATGTATGCGACACATTGAGCTTCTCTGCAATATCTCGTGTTGTGCTGTGACGATTTGAATCGATAATGGCTTTGATATGGGTTTCATCCACTTCGACTGGGCGGCCAGATCGTTGTGAATTTTTCAGTGAAAAATCACCGCAACGAAATCTTTCAAACCAATTTCGACACTGCCTTTCTTTTAAGGCTTCATCTCCGTATACGGCACATAACTTTTTTTGTGCTTGCGATGCGTTCTTGCCTTTTCGGAAGTAATACAATAAAATGTGTCGGAAGTGCACGTCCTGTTCTTTCATTTTTAAATTGGGATAAAAACAAAACTAAAGAACTAAAGAAAAAATTTTTTACTAATTAACCTAGAAGCCCATACAGTAAGAAAAAAATATAGGTTAGATGCTCTGGCCACGTTAACAAAACAAAAGAAAGTATAGAGTGAATCCGTCAACAAAAACGGCAATGACTTAGTTGCCAACCCAGTACATTAAATGCTCGTGTTCCTCAACTTTTGACTGTTTGGCTTATGAAAACGAAATGATTCATACAAGAGTGACAATAACCTAGGATTGCTAAAAGGTCCTAGTAGTAGTATAGCCAACATCACGTCAACTAAATGTCATACATAAGTGAAAATGAGAGTTGTTCAACCACCATGAAAATCAATACAACTTTTCCTCTTTTGTCTTGAGAATACATTACCACCGTTGTGCAAATTGTAATCGAAACTCTAGAGATGAAATTAATTCTAAAGAAAACAATCTTTATAATTCGTCCTGTTCTCCATTTAATAATTATAATATTTACAAGGATGCATCTTCCTCTTCACAACCTATTGATAATACATACATTGATTGATTCTTTTTTATTGATAAATTGGACTCAACGATCGTCGCACTTACGCTAAATCGAAACTTTTACTATACAGACCCAAAATTTTGGGGTCCACGTGGTGCACCCTGGACAACGTATCTTCGTACGGCAAAAAAGTCTATCACTCGGCATTTGATTTGACTTCGATTTATTATACTGCTATAAATGTACCCCCACCCATGGGGGAAGCTGAAGTCAAAGTTTAAGGGCTAATGATAAATATCTCAAAGCCTGCCATTTGAAATAATAATAAACTATGCAGACCCAAAATTATCGCCAGCCACTTCGTTTTAAACTCTTTTTACCATTAAATGCCATGTTTAGTTTAAGCTCCTATTTCGAAGCTTAAATAATTTATTTTAATTGAAGCAATGCAGGAATTTGAGAGGGTAACTCAATCTCAGCGCCTTCCAAGAACGGCCGTTTCAAAATCAAAAGATAAAAAGCTTTATTCATTTAATTCTACTCTCGAAGAAAATTCTCGAAACACTGATCCCGAGGTAAAATCAAATAGCTACGCTCTCATTGCTGAGAGAAAACAACAGCTGGAAAAAGCAGTCAAAGCAAAATCTCTATCGTTACTCTCCCACTGCTCAAGCAAGAAATCAATTTCAGATAAGTCCACATCTTTCAAGGTTGCAATTATTTAGGATAAATGCCTTTATGTTAGAAATACATAGTCATTTCATTGAATTTCATTTCTATAGTCGAGTGGACTACGACGATGCCACTCAGCTATGTCATTTGAAACGAGGGACAGTGAGGGACGAGCAAGTTTCTCCCAGGTGATTAAAATAAATTTTCTCAGATAAGTTCTCTTTTTTTCTAGATTGCGGAATCAATTATGAAAATAAAATTCTCTGCTTCAAAGCGTCTTGACTCCTTGCGAAGTCGAATTTCGCAATTAAGGAATGGAGACGATTCACCCTGCGCTATGTAACTAGAAATATTGCGTTTTACTTAATTCCTCTAGGCGCTCGTTAAAGATTTTGGGTACATTGGAGAAGACGAGGACTTGGTCGAAGGAGAATCAGGCAATATTTCCTCGAAAAAATCCCCTTCGCTTATCAATGAATGTTGAATCCACTGTTACAACCCGAATGAGCAGTGGTTATGCATCTGAGGAAGTTAATCCAATTTCCAGCGCTAATTACGATACAGAGATAACTTCGGGTAAGTTTTAAAAGACAGAATTAAATTAGTTCCTATCAGAACTGCTTCAAACTGAAAACAGGCGTGATATAGTTCCTCAAATGACTCCATCTTTAATGCCTGTCTCAGCAATTGGAAAGCAGATTCGGCCACGTCTAAGAAAATCATTGTAGGTCGAAACTTATTACAATGCTTTTATTTTACAAGCAGATTTATTGACAAAAATTAAAATTCATTAAATTTTAATACTCCCCAATAATTATTGCTCAAAAAGGCAAGTTTTTAAACCGGGATTTCGTATTTTTGTAACCAAAGATTTATTTCCTAGTTGAGTGACTTAAATGGAAATGTAATCAATGGAGAATATCAATGAGGACTTGTTGCATAAATAGAAATATTTAACAGCTTGATAAGCAACTAAATTTCATTCTTAGTTTCCTTTAAATGGAACTAATTAGGTTCACAATGTATATATGCTTCAGATGATTCAAACGTTCGAGCGAACGTGTGGTCGTGTGTGCGCCCCACCTTCGCAATCGTTCCCAAATTTGCATATGATTTCGTTTTAGTAAATACCAGTGCAACGGGAAAATGTGTTCGCCATAGCAACACAATCCATTTCTAGAATTTTGGAGATACGATCCGCTATTGGGTATCAGAAATTCTGAATGATTCGTAATGCTTTTAGTACCCGATATCTTTGTTGAAAGATAATTCTCGGTCATCTCGCAGTTTCCTACAAAAATTAAACTCATGAATTTATTAAGATCTCTTTAAGTTTGGTTTTTAGTGGATTGCTACACTAATTAGGCTAGGTTTATTTTCAGTAATCTCTATGGCAAGAGCTTCTAGTTTGGAATGGTTCTCAGGATTAGCTAAGTGGCCGCAATCTATGGAGAAATAAACTTATTTGGGTTGAGTATGTTGGGTTTGTGTGTGCGATGACATGGAACAAATTCATTCATTTATTTATTTTCTTATTTATACCAAATTAAATGTCGAGTAATTTTAATTGGACTTCAATTAATTATGATTATCCATTTGAAATAAATAAATTTATTTATACCAAATGGCAGGCGTTTTGATAGTTAACATTAGCCCTTTAGTTAACTTCGGGCTTCACAGAAGGGAAGGGACATCAAAGTGAAAAGGTCGAGAGGTGGGGGGGGAGGGAACAGAAGAGTGGTTTAAAGATGTAAAAGAGACAGACACAAAGGTAGAAAAGGTGAGGTGAAAATGTGGAAGTGGTCGAATATGACATGCAATGGGGTGATGGTAGTTTGAAGTCAGAAGTCAACTGCCGTTTAATAGACTTTTTGCCGTATTTGAATACGTTGCCCAGGATGCACCACGTGGAGGTAAGTCTATCGCACACCCCGGAGCGAAATCATTAAATACTGCTTGGGTACGATTATATTTGGTTATTGATTGATCGAGGGGTTTCTGTACTCATGACCACATTTTCTCCCTGTCGTTAATGGGCTCACGTCCGCAACGTTCCAGAATATTAGAGTGCAGAAGCTTACGTTGTGTTCCCCGAAGGTTTTAGTAGAAATGGACTGGCTGTAAGGCTATTTTGCCATTATTCGAAAATGGTAAGATTTTTGGGAGATTATTTTTAAATCATATGATCATTAAAGAGATTTATTTATGATTAAATTTTGAAATAAAAAAGCACGTATATTCCGAATAATTGAATGGCCTTGCGTCTATTGTTTACGTGACGTCGATGGGAATTCAATTGATACAAGATTCTACTCAAGAGATTCGATGAAAAGAGCGTTCAACCGCGTTCTCCTCTGTTTATTTAAGTGGCGTAATAGAATATGAACGGAGTATAAAAGCTCCGGTCATTTAAATATTCAAGAGCGTGACAAATTACCAGCACGTTGTGGAAATATGAAACTAGTTTTTTAACGTAATTACGGTGAAAGATCATTTCAAAGCAAATGTGTTTAGATTGATGCAAAGATTGTCGAGATCTCCTGTGGAAGCTTTAAGTCCATAGGTTGTAAAATGTCCACCGAAATAAAACTAATAATGAAATAAATCGATTATATTCATAGGGATTTATTCTAACCTACCCTCTGTTTACATCTTAAATTACTATACATTTGCATAGCGAACTTCTTCAAAAACTTTGAAATTAGAATTGGGTGAAGGCCTTGTGTACATTCAGAGAAAGTTTAATTAGTTTCTGAAACGTGCAATTTAAATACAAAGGTGAATTTTCCTAACAAAATAGTAGACCAGTCTCTGTGAGTGGCTTGAGAAAAAAACGTTGCTGTTTTAGACAGACACGACCCAAGCGATCAAGCACAGTTCATTGGTCAAATCGAGTCACTCATTGTGTCAGTATGGATGCAAGAGGTGCAGTAGAAGATTTGAATTCGACTCAATGGGAGAAACAATTTGGCGCCCTGCAATATTTGGGCGGGTTCTTAACTTCAGGCGCGCAGCCAGTTCACCACGAGCTTCGTGGCTGGTCTTCCGATCGCGTTCAGAAACTCTGCAACGGCCTTGTCTCCGCTGCAACCTGCTTAAGATCTCAGGTCTATAAACATTTTGTAGATTTTCAAATCTCTTAATTATCAAATCCACTTTATTTTTAGGAATTTCTTAAAGTTAGAATACTAATTATTCTTAAAAAATACGGGTTTTATTCCTAAAAACAGTTTTGGTTCCTGTTAAATTACTGTTCATATTATTATGACAAGACTTGATTTGTGAATAATTTCAACAAATTCCACCGTGCATGATATTGGCGTGAAATAGTACTGCAATTCTGACACTCACTAGAAATTTATAGACTAGAAGAACTAATTTTTACTTTGTATAAAAGGATTTATTATAGATGTTACCACAAAAAAAACATGGCAGAAACAAAAGGGGAAGATAATTGTTAAAGGGATTCACCAAATGAAGCATAATCCATTATGCAAGAAGAGTAGACTGCATTGACCCTTTCTTTTCAAATATTTTTCATATATATATATGATCGTAAAACATACAATGTCAATTCACTAAAACAATTTTAATTAAAATCTCTATTCCAATAGAAACAGTATTCTAAGGTTTAAGCATCCACACTCACAAATAGCTCTGAAAAACGCAATATTTTTAAAAAAAACATGCACATATATGTGTGCGCTCCTTCAGTGCTATTAAAATAATTTATCACATATGTAAATCCTGACGTAAGATCTCTTTCACTTCATAGGTTTCAAGAATGGCGATCGAGAGAATAAAGTCCGCCGTACGCCTTCTGACCCCAGCCCAACTCGAACCAGCCATCCGCTCCCTCTTCTTCGGTCTGATTGGTCGAGTGGGTGGCGACACAAGCACAGCCTTTCTTCGAACCGCCGCGAATGAAGCAATCGATGAATTGGTTGATCGCGCTCCCCCTCACCCTCTAATTCTCTGTCTCAACGATGCTTGTCATTCACCAACTGCAAAGAGTGCTACTGGTCGAAGATGTTTGGTGAGGTGTTATGCAGCTGCACTACCTCGTCTCCTAATGCTGAATACTTGTCCGGCAAAGGGTGAAAGACCATCAGCCTTGTCTCGAAAGCACCAGGATACTTTTAATAAGATGCTACCGCATCTAGCTACATTTCTAAAGGACGGGGACTTTGAAACAAGGTGTGCTGTGCCTTCATTAACTACAATATATCTAACTTCAGGTTATTTAACGCTTTTTATGCACGCAAAACCATCGAGTTTCTGAACCAAACATTTCGTTACGTTCAAAGATTCATAAGCCAATTTTTAAAATGAAATTGAAAAAATGCGGTATTGAATTCGAAATGAAATTCGCTCATTGCTAGGCGATTCGCTTATCTTTAAACTGTTCAGGCGTTCGAGAAAATTTATTGAAAATATTTTGTAGAAACAATGGAAAGAAAATCGTTCGAATGCTTTTGACCATCAGAGATTTTGAAGCTCATCTCAAAGTCACTTTAAACGACCACAATCTCAAAGCTTTCACTGAGGTTCTTGATACGATCTCTAATCGAAGGGTGAGTCGATCCACATGGACACTTCAATTATGGAGTCAAACGTACAAATACACTCACATGATTACCGTTTTATTTAAGAAGGATCCCCGAGTAAATGGCATTTTCTCCACCCTCCGAATTCCTAGTCGAACTAGCCTTCTTCCACGTCGTTCAACTAACAAACGAAATAATAGCCAGCCACCACCTAGGGGAAGAGATGCTTCTTCAACACCGCCGAATTCTGAACTGGCATCATCGATATCTAAAACTCCCCTGTCAGGTCGACCTAAACTACAGGAGGTGGTCTCCTCTCAGAAAGTTATTTGGCAGGACCGTCTGTGCAGTCTCCTTGAACTAAGTGCTCAGCTGAGAAGGCCAGAAATTTATGATGACATACCAACAGCTGAGGTATATTTCTGTTAAAATTTGTTCTACTTAAATTTTTAAGTAGCAAAATGACTTTCGATGAGCTTTACAATTCTCTTATTTGGTGAATTGGGGAATAATAAATCAAATGCTTTTTACAACAGTTTTGGTAATTTGGATCATTTTTTAAATGAAATGCAATTTTTGATTTTACTCGGCTGTCATTTTTTCACATTTAGCTGGTGAATACGGTGTCTACGTTGCTCCAAGATGAAAATGAACTGGTCACTTCTACAGCATTGAAGTTGTGTCTGGATGCTAGACTGTTGGATTCGAGAAGAGGTCGATGTAAACCTCCTGAGGATAAATTCTGTCCGGGCCTCCTTTCACTACTCTGTGAGAAGGAGGACACGGAGGGATTTACAAATGTTTTGGCCCTCATCTACAAACAGCTTACTAACACCGATGCTCTCATTTGCACTTTGTCACGAAAATGTCTGGATGAGACGAGGCGTATTTTGGGTAAGCTATTTAACAGTGAAATTGACTTGTAATAATATTAATGAGGAATAACACTCTTGGTTGACAAACAAAGAAAAAACTATGTCCTAATCTCTTTACTGCATCTTAGTTTGTCTCATTATCCCAACTCGGGCTATATTCTCCCATTGCCAATGCTTTTCCATCCCATTCTTGATCTCAATTCTTCTCACAGCTACTTGATCTCTAATCATACATTCCGTGTATGGATGTCTGATATAGTTGATCTTCTCACCTGGGAAAAAACGCTGTTTCCATTGACATTGAGGAAGGCCACTGGTATAATATGAGGACATCATTGATCAGGGTTTTAATTCAGTTAACCTGGCGAGGACAGAACTGCTTCATACCTCATAACATCGTGCTGTGGTTACGCCTAAATTGATGAGGTAGCAATTTTAAGGGGTTTACCACTTGCACCTAAAATTATCTTCAATTTACGATTGGGGTGTGTGATAGACTTACCTCCACGTGGTGCACCCTGGGCAACGTATACTCATACGGCAAAAAAGTCTATTACCTGGCAGTTGACTTCAAAATACCATGACCCCACTGTATGTCATATTCGAATACTTTTATAGTACTCATCCCACCTTTTTTCCACCTTATCTACCTTCGTCTTTGATACACTCTTCTGTTCCCCCCCCCCCTCTTGAATTTTTTACACTTTGATGTTCCTTCCCCTCTGTGAAGACTGAAGTCAACTAAAGGGCTAATGATAACCATCAAAACGCCTGCCATTTGATATAATAATAATAATAATAATCTTCAATTTGCGAATTAGATACGAGACAAATGATTAAATTAAAATAATACGTGTTTTTTTAGGAGCCGAAGCTCTCGTAAAGCCTCTCCTGCATGCCATTCAATCAGAACCCACTCGAAGCAGTACACATCTAGTTCACGAATTGTGCGATATCACTGCAGACTTGGATGCAGATTCCCCACTAATTGGACGGTATCTCCTTCCCGCGGCTGCTCACTTGCATCGTCGGATCTCTGTTCAGGGTAGAGATCCCGAAGGTGAGGAGAGTGTGGCCGTGGGTACATTCACCAAGTGTTTGATTAACTTGGCTGGAGAAGAAGCCCTCTGTAGTCAGAGTCTGATTATGAACGACTTTGGCCTGAACATTCAAAGCTTTCTTACTTCCTCATAATATTGCCCCAGTGCTTTATAATAATCTTTCCTACTTTCCCCGATTATGTAAATAATGGTTTGAAACTGTAATTCAGCTTGTGTAAAATTGTGCTCTGTTAGCTAAATTGTCAGATTTGATCAAATAAATATGTTCCTAATTAGCTTACCTGTTAATACGACATACTTCACTTCAAAACCATTATCAAATTTCATTAATTTTCATACCTTTTTTGGCTTCAACGCGTATCTCGAGTATGTAATAAGCAACACAGAGACTTCCAAGTGAGGAAGTGGAAATTTCCCATCTACTCCCATTTCAGACTTACTCTCAATGTGATTGGCTACTCCAAGTCATTTTTTAATATCAGCAAATTTATCTTTCGAATGGGCCTGTCTTAACAATTACAGCAATTTACTGACACTTTAAAGTCAATTGGCCCCATTAAACGTGAATAAATGAGTGTTTTTAGTAAAAAAATATTAGACTTTTCTATAAAAATTTTAAATGTGGTAAATTATGTTAAACCCCTGTTTATTTATGACTTATAAATATGCAGTTTTGTTAATGTGAATTAATGCTCTTAATCGAATTAGATTAATCTACTTATCATATTTCCTAATACCAAATATGCGCATTTCTTGAGAAGAATTGACGTACAGCTTTAAATTTCTTACATTCCGTAAGTCGGGGTGCGCGATAGACTTACCTCCATGTGGTGCACCCTGGACAACGTATACTCATACGGCAAAAAAGTCTATAAACCGGTAGTTGACTTCTGACTTTAAACTACCATCACCCCACTGTATGCCATATTCGACTACTTCCACAGCACTCACCTCACCTTTTTTCTACCTTTTTGTCTGTATCTTTTACATCTTTGAATCTCTCTTCTGCTCCCCCTCTCAATTTTTTCTCACTCTGATGTTCCTTTCCCTCTGTGAAGATTGAAGTCAACTAAAGGGCTAATGATAAACTCTGTGAAGATTGAAGTCAACTAAAGGGCTAATGATAACCATCAAAACGCTTGCCGTTTGATATAAATAAAATAAATAAATAAATAAATACATTCCGTAAGTCTTTATTCGGCAAAGTTACATTTCCATGTTTACCAATTTGAAATAAAACTGAAAGTAGATTGTTAGTCAGATTATAACAACACTACAACTTATCGATGAATGTTCACTGACCCGATAATAATAAATGAGAAATGGTTAAACAGTATTTTAATCGGATGGGTGCTATTTCCACATGATTGATCGTGAAAGATAGGTTTTAATGTAGGCTTGAAAAAATTAATCACCCTTTATTGAACTTACCTTGGATGAGAACGGACTGTAAAATTTAACTAGCTTTTAACATTTTAACTAACGCTAAAATTTAGCTGTTAAATATCATTTAAAATAATTTTTTACTTTTCAATCATTGAGAGAAAAAAGGAACAAATTAGAATGGCGAGACCGATCCTTCTTGATGAAAACTTTGGTCAATCATCAGCTAAAATCCAGGCAATGCTTTGTGAAATTAGAATTTCAAAGCACAAGATACCCATTTAGTAGATCAAGAACACCCCGATCCTAAAAGCAACAAATGCTGAAAGATTCTTCAGTACCTTGACATTACTCTCAGGAGCCTTTTAATCCACTTCACCTTGAACATTTTTTCCGATTTTCTTCTTATCTACTTATACTGGTTCCCACAATTAAAAATTGTTACATTTATATTGAATACCCGTGAGAATATCTATACTAAACATTTATTGCAAAATTGGTGATCCTTTATTCCGACGCTCCTTATATTTATATTTTTAAAAGTAAACAGTTAAGTAAGTTATCTAATTAAAAAAAAATAAAACATGTACTTGGCGTGCTTTACTGCTTGCATTATTTGCCAACTTGACCTGAAACTTATCGGTAATCGAGTGCACTAAGTGTTTGTGCGTTTGATTGACTTCACACAAATTGGCGGTGCTCTTATTTGACACAGATGCACTCTCATGAGCGTGTTGTTAAGACCTCTCAAACCTTATGACGTTTTAGTGCCTAAAATTGTCGTTTCTTTTTGCACATCTGCAAGAAAATTAACTTAAATCCACAATGGCGAGAATAAGCCTTGAAATGTTTAATAAAAACTTGATGTGGCTGAGAAGCTGTTACGTGCACTTCCTCAAATCGACATTAGAATTATAGACATATTCTTTGCCGTAAAGTGAAGCTGATGTAATTGAGCAATTCTAGAATCCAGTAAAACATTTGGGGTTTTTTAATTCATTTTATAAATGCATATGTGCACCCAGATTTTCTGTAACCAATAGATATGCACCACTATGATAATAGCAAGAGAATGTGAAACAGCGTAGTAAGTTTATGCAATTTTCCAATCTTACCGAAAGCGATAGTGCTCTCACAAAATACACTTCAAGTGTCATATTTAAGACGAAAAATGCAACATACGTAAGTAGACTTAAAATTGGATTATTTTTCAATGCGTCCGGTGGAACAGTGGTCAGCTTGAACGATTGCAAAAGCAGAGGCTACGAGATCCATTCTCATCAATTCACTTCCAGTGATGTGGAGGGCCAACCTCACGGGTAAATTCTGAGTTACAATGTGCGTGAGTTTCTCATTAGTATGGCTCCAGGCCACTTCTTCCACCCAAATCGAACATAGTCAACAAGTTTCTAATTGGGATCCAACTTTTAGCAAAAGTTGGGAAAGCGTGACCAAACAATGAGACCGTTCGCGTTCGTTGAGCGAGCAGTCATTGCGTGTTCATTAATAAGCGGGAAAAAACCGTCTGGTTCTCTTCCGTTGGTTTAAAGCTTGTCTGGTCTTTTATTTTGACCTCAATTCAGACTCGGATTTACATTAAGTGCAAATGCCTACCTCAATCATAGGGCAGAATACCACACAACTTGAGATAGGAAAATCGATACGTTCCCTGATATTCTGTATATTCGTCTTCAAGCAACGGCTGATTAAATGGTTTTCAAAATCTCGTGTCCATTTCTGTGATAAAATATTAAAGTGAATGACAAAAGGGAAATTGGTTGGAGTTCGATTATCAAAAATGTGGGAAATTAGCAAATCGGAAAGAGCTGCTATTGACAAAGATTAAAATGCTATTTACGATGTCAACGCTTTCTGTTTTAAAGATTTAGCAAGAACTTTGAAAGTAACAAAAAAGTCCACTGCTCTTGACGAAATTATGGGTTGATTTATTGGGGGATGAGCTATCTTATTCTTGTTAAAATGGTCAATTACCGCATAGAAATGTCTTCTATGAAAATTAATGCATTTCCCATTTGAAACATTTTAATAGGGTTAAATGGAGTGGTTGTGAAATGTCGTCTGATTGAAATAAAAGGTGCCATATTTTGTGTAGGCAGAAATGCATTGGTTTTATCAAAAGCATTCTTCATAAAACAACATAACATATTTATTTCAAATGGCAGGCATTTTGTTAGTTATCATTAGCATTTTAGCTGACTTCAGGCTTCACAGAGGAGGGGGAACATCAAAGTGACAAAAAGTCGATATAGGGGGGGGGGGACAGAATAATGATTCACAGATGTAGAAGAGACAGGCAGGCACAAATGTTCAGTAAAAGGTAAGGCGAGATCTGCTGCAATGGTGGAATATGGCATACAGTGGGGTGATAGTTAGAAGTCAACTGCCAGTTTATAGACTTCTTTACCGTATGAGTATACGTTACCCAGGGTGTACCACGTGGAGGTAAGTCTATCACACGCCCCACAACATGACATATATACTCTAAGGAAAAAAATTAATTAAAGCATTTTAAATTTGAATTTACAAGTTTAAAGTGAAAGGACCATTTTGAAATGATATCGCCCTTGCTAGATAGGACATTGTTATTGAAGGATCCGTTGCATATGCTGCACAAATAGGCCTTAACTGAACTTCAAAAATCTTCTCTAGCCATATTCTGAAATTATAGAACAGGAAAAATGACGTAGAATACATCATCCCCATATGTTGCTTAACTAACCCATATGGTTAGCCATTAAATGTAAACAATGTTATTCTGCGCTGCATAACCATAACTGCCGGTTAGCTGAGTGGTTCCTGAACGCATGACCACATATTAGAGAATCTTCTATGCGAATTAAGCAGTGATGCACACTCCACAGATCAAGACGTGCTAAGTTCATAAACACTACGGTAGAAACTAGCCATTTTATGGTTTTACAAAGTCATAGTTACAAATTTAGACACATTCGAAATGATAGCATTTGGTGTCTGTTAGTGAATGGTTATATAGGTGAATGAGGGGTGTGCGATATACTTACCTCCACGTGGGGCACCCTGGGCAACGTATACTCATGCGGCAAAAAGGTTTATTACCTGGCAGTTGACTTCAAACTACCATGACCCCACTGTATGTCATATTCGACTACTTCCACTTCAAACTACCATCACCCCACTGTATGTCATATTCGAAACTTCAAACTACCATCACCCCACTGTATGTCATATTCGACATCCTTCAAACTACCATCACCCCACTGTATGTCATATTCGACCTCTTCAAACTACCATGACCCCACTGTATGTCATATTCGACTATTTTTAACAGTACTCACCCCACCTCTTTTCTACCTTTCTACCATCGTCTTTGAAACACT